TGCAGCCGCATAAGCATCTAAGTTGTTCGTATGCCAGAGGATGCTAAACAACAAATGACCCTTCCATGACCAAATCTCACGTCATGCCGCACAGTCCGGCTGCTCCTAGCTGTCCAGGGAGGCCATTTAAGTAGGCCATGGATCCATGACATTTGAACACCTGTAATGCCAGGTGTGGCCATTGACAGGTGTTCAATACGTATCAGGTCAAAATGGGATCATCCAAAACTCAGACTTGGACTATATGATTCATCACGTAAGCTGCAATCCTGTCTTGTTAATAAGCGACAGCGAATGAAGCTGTCATATCCCACAAATGAACTGGTTATTCATTGACGAGTTCAACTATAAGTGGGACCAGTACATGTCTCAGAAATATCTAAATCTTTTCTAAAACATCGCAGAAAGTCAGAGATGTACCGATAAACCACACAGGACAAAAAGTTATTACTGTACACACATAGGTAATCTTCTGCTATAAGAAAGACAGCCATATATTCCACCACCACCAATTCTATGTCTATTAATGCAGTTACTTTTCGGGAAACGCGTAGGGATTCTATGTAGCCTCACTTCAGCAATGCGACCGTGCGTTATTATCCTTTACAGCCTCTCTCCATTATTTCTTGTAAGGCCGCAGAGTACAGCAACATTTCCATGAGTATGGCCAGTGGTCCAGAAGAACGAGCGCTGAACACCAAACAAATGAAGGATCATTGGATCGATAGTCGTAGTTTACGGTTTAAGATAATTCATAATAGCAGTACACGGGGCACATTTAAACGTCTCGACAGATTTACGTCTTATCTGCATGATGGTTCAACTTTACAACAATGACTTTCGTCAGACCAGCTAAGGGACTTGATTAGACTTGATTAGTTCCATTATGATGGACTTCCTATACTGCGACCGTGTCAAGTTCTGAACAAAGGAAAAAGCCAGGAAAATTAAAGAAAAGTCTCAGTAGCCGTTGAGACATCAGTCTCTCTTCCAATCGAGCATTGCTTTGGCACCCTTCTCTCATGAAGTTTATGGTGCCTACTGCAATGTCTCTATAGCTTGATGATCACTACAGTGTGTAGCCTCCGGTTTGCCTTCAGTAAGATATTCGTTTACTTCAGAAGGATAAAAAGTAAGTTACCATAGCAAAACTCGAACTCTAGAATTCTCAACTGTGTGTTTGAAGCTTCAAAAGAAAGCACTGAACATTTTTGCAACGTCAACATTGTTAAACTTCAACTTACAAACGAGGATGACAAAGGAACCTGATAGGACTTCGACTCTGGTTCGACCAACGACTGACAAATGCTTCGAAGTTTAACAACGTTATCTGAAAGAACACAATATTAACCATTATAAATTCGTTGCAAAGTTTTCTCAATTTACCTCTGTCCACGAGATGCTGAATTAAGTTCAGCAACCAAAAACAGTACTCTTCGGCAGATCTTAAGGCTGCCGCAGAGCATAGTTGCGTTTCGATGAAAGACAGCGACGCCAAAGCTACCGTATCTGACAAATTCTTCGTTGGAACGAACGGAGCAGCCCTAAAATTCGGAACCGCGTATTTGTTTGCACTGATTCACTTGAAAAAAGCAGAGTGACAGCAACTCCTAAGCCGGTGGGCCAACCAGATGTTAGATGCAGATGGCTATGGCCCCTTCGCGGTCATGCACCACAGGCGAATCAGATTCAATGGCTGAGATCGGTCTGACTTGTCTGCAGGTGAAAGGGCCGTCACACACGACAATTAATTACATCGTTAGGAAGTGCTAAAACAGTCCTGACCAAAACGTAGGTATCGCTGCTAGACTTTATCGTTCCTTTTCTAAGTGATGAGCGATGCCGCCAATCAGTGCAAACTGACTGCACCTCAATTAATAATTATAATGATGTAGATTCATATTCCTCATGTCTAAACGGACACCGCTTCCAATTAATTGGTCAGCAGCACGAAAGGTAACAAATAAAATCATTATTTGACACATGCTTAATATTTTGACCAAATGGGCATTGGTCATCATCTGAAAATGCTATTACTGGCAAAGACCGATATGCACTTGATCGCGATGTAAGTCAATTAAAAAAGTAGTATCCATTTTTTTGCTGCGAACCATACAGTTTGAACACGTATCCAATAGCAGAAACGGAACGTATTTTGTAAACTTAAGATTTCATTCCCAATTGGTGGCAGCAAGTCTCTTCTGCGCTGCAAGTTAATGAATCGAAAACGTATACGCTAAAATATATTGTTTACTTGTGTCTCATTTCGAATCGTTTCTCATGTCTTATTATATTTATGCCAATTTCTTGTCTCATTTATTTCTTACTTAAAAGTCAATAGGACACTGTTATTAGTCGATACGAATACCGCTGATAAAGGTGAAAAACAGCTGTACTAAATTTCGCTTTTCAATCCAGGCGAAGGAAAAGAAAGTAATTGTGATTACTAATTCCTTTAAGTTACTAACCTGTAAAAAATAGGAAACCAATATCCGTAATAAGGTGTTGGATACAAGCCAAGCAGATAATTAGACTGTCTTTTATTTACATCGTCAATATTCTGGACACACAAAAAGAAAATTAAATTTTTTTAAGCTTACAGCGAGACCACTAGCAGTCAGCCTTTAGCAATGTGAAACGAGGCCAAACATTGCGAATCCACCGTAACTACTTTATTAGCTGAAATATGCATGCTGATACGATGTTACATATAAAGATAATAAATGATTATTTGATAACTAGTTTAGATCTAACTTTTATGGTGATCGAGGACAGAAATTTTTTCTAATATGGGCTTATGATTATGAGCGACGAAGCCAGGGTGTTCGGCGTGGTTACAGGCGATGGTACGAGTGCAGCTAATTTACTGCTTCTATGTAATATATCGTTTACCATGCAGTTTATTAACATAGGATGCACTGCAAGTGTTCATGTACATGGAATCCATCAAATGAGTTTAAATGCCTCCTAGACGTTTATGGGCAAGGAAGTTTCAACTACGAATACCGGTAAAGCTCAAAAAGAAATGATTTCCAAGGCTCATACCGATACTGTGCCAAGAATAACCTGAACCTAATAGGTTTCCTGACTCTATGGCTGGCAGTATGAAAAAAAAACATTTTTTAAAACAAATCCTCCAACATTTCGACCGTACTGACATCGTTCATTATCAGGGAATGAAAAAAAACAGAAAACCACTGCTGGGTCAGCGATGGGACACTTGACCCGTCGCTAATTAGGCTCCACTCGAAAAAAACCGCAATGCAGCCAACGGAAACGTTACGAAGTCCTACTTATGCTTGCTGCGATGCGAAGTTACTCCATAATTTGCAGCTTCGCTTTGTCGTGCTGTCGATCGGACACCTGACATCGCTGTTTAGCTAAGTCGTTTAGTCATCAGGACAGTAAGCGCTTTGCAGGGCATGGACAGTAAAACCAGAATGAACAGAGTTACGGTATGTAACAGCTCTTATGTTTCGCTAATCTGGTTTTTAACGTTCAACAGGTTTGGCCGATACAAATACAGCGTGCAATTTGAG